TTACCACTTAATTATACCCTCATGTAGTAGCATACAATGTACAACATGTACATAATTAACTTAGGAACATTTGACCATTCCAAGAACTCACAAAAGTACAGATGATTTTTTCTTTTCTGCTAGAACATACTGTTTTGTTTTAAACATTGATGCTTCCTGTTTGGAGTAGTATTTCCATTTTGACTTACATAGCTGTTGTTATTAAAATGAACAAATACAAGGTCATGCCACATGATGGAGTTTCTTTTTTCATTAGAAGAAGATAAAATTGGGTAACTGAGTCATAACTTGTACTCTAAATAATTGTTGAAAATCTGGAGAAGTTTTTAAGATTGTTTTCCATTATAAGTGAATTGCTATTGTCTTAAATGGTGTGTATTTCAAGTATGTTCTTTTCAGAAGTGTTAAAGTGTTAACAGTATTTTGTAGTGTTATGAAGTTGGAAAATTTCTGTGTTCAGGCATTTTATTTCAAGTTATGATATCCAAGAAAACTTTTTTTTTGTTTTGTTTTTCAAGATAGGGTTTCTCTGTGGCTTTGGAGGCTGTCCTGGAACTAGCTCTTGTAGACCAGGCAGGTCTTGAACTCACAGAGATACGACTGCCTCTGCCTCCCTAGTGCTGGGATTAAAGGTGAGCACCACCACTGCCCAACTCCAAAAAACTCATTTTATAGATAGGTGGAATTTTTGTATTTTGTTGTTGTTGCTGCTGTTTTTGTTTTGTTTTGCTTTTTTTGAGACAGGGTTTCTCTGTGTATTCCTGGCTGTCCTGGAACTCACTTTGCAGACCAGGCTACCCTTGAACTCACAGAGATCCTCTGGCTTCTGCCTTCTGAGTACTGGGATTAAAGGTGTGCATCACCACTGCCAAGCATAGGCAGAATTTTTCAAATTATGTTTTTCTTTACAAAAATGCAGTATTTTTCAACTCTGATTCTTTGTAGGGGGTAGTATGGGGTTTTGGTGTTTATTCATTTTGTTTATTTGAGACAAGGTGTCACTAGGTAACATTGGGTAGCCTGTGTTGTATAAACCAGACTGGCTTTGAACTCAGAGATCTGCCTGTCTCAGCCTCCACGACCATACCAGGTGCATGGAGCCAGTTTTGTTTTTGTTTTTGGGTTTTTTGTTTATTTGTTTTTAGACAAGAGTCTCATATAGCCCAGGCTGGCCTAACTACCATGCCTGGCTCAACCTTATTTTTTATAAATTAAGTCTTTTTAGTAAATAATATCGTATAATGTAGGAGTATTTGTTTTAGTTACTCTTTTAAAATTAAGACTTGGGAGGTTTATATATTCATCTTAATTTTCTTCATGAGAAACTGGGAATAGGAGTGGTATATCTCTCGTGGCTACATGAATTTTTCCTTAAACAGTTTTCTAAGATGGTGGGGTTACTTTAGGTATGGTGCTTTTATGTGAAGCTGCTACCTCTGACCTGGATATTGGGAAGCGAAGGAGTAAGTTACATGCCACAATGTTCCAATTCTTCCTTTAATGCAGAAAAATGAACTCTCTCTAATTGATTTTTCCCTTTATACAGAATGTGAAAAAGAAACTGAAACTTCTAAGAAGAGTTCTCATATTATTCCACCAAAAACAACTAATAATTTTAATATAATCGAATTCTTTCCATTTTTTTGTTGGTTTGTTTGTTTGTTTGTTTTCACAGAAGCTCTGCTATGTGGCCAAGCTGACCTTGAACTTGCAATCCTCCTGCCTCAGCCTTCCCCATGTTCTTGTAGCCAGGTAACCTTCAATCCAAGCACTGGGGAGCCACAGGCAGATGGATCTCTGAGTTTGAGGCCAGCCTGGTAGTCTACAGAGCGAGTTCCAGGACATCCAGGGATACACAAAGAAACCTTGTCTTTAAAAAAAAAGAAAAAACTACAAGAATATCTTGGGTTTTTGTTTTTTGTTTTTTGTTTTTTTTTTCTTTTTTTGAGAGAGGGTCTCATATAGACTATCAGTTTCAGATTGGTTGACTTTGATCTTCCTATCTCCACCTCCCAAGTATTAGGATTACAGACAGTGCCATTGTGTCTGATTGTTTTTTTGCTGGGGACTGAACCCAGGGATTAGTATATGCTAGATAAGAACTTTACCAACTGAGCCACTTCTCCAGCCCCATCTGTAATCAACATTTTAAACACTGTATATGTGGGAACCAGACTTGATGGTTCTGGCCCTTAATTCCATACATTAAGGAAGGTGAGGTAGGAGGATCACAAGTTCAAGGTCTAACTGGTTTATAAAATGTGATAGAAGCCAGATGGCAACTTACTAAGACTCTGTCTCAAAATAAGCAAGTAAAAAGAGGACTGGGCATGTAAATCTGGTAGAGTGCTTGCCTAGCATGTACTAGGCTTTAGATTCAATCCCTAGTACCCCAAAACAACAGGAAAAAAATATGGCCAGGCCTGGGGATAGAGCTTTAAGGTGGTATGATTGTCTTATATAGACAAGATCACTAACAGTACAAAAGGGGTGTGTGTGTGTGTGTGTGTGTGTGAGAGTATGTGTGTGTTTGAATCTTAAACTCACTTTAAAAATTAAATACTTGGGAGGCAGAAGGAAGATTGATGCAAGTTTTGAGGCCAGACTGGTGAACATACATAGCAAGTTCCAGGCCAGACAGAGCTGCATGTTGAAGACTTTTCCTTGAAACAAAATAAACAAAAAATTCGGTGGGGAGTGGGAGCACACATCTATAATTCCATAACGTGGGACATGGGGCCTAAGAAAATCAGTAACAAGGAACCCTGGCGGCATCTACTCTTTATGCTTTAGAACACTTACATATTGTTGCATGTGGTGGCATAGTTTATGATCCCAGTACACCAGACTGAGACAAGAGGATTGCTGCCTGTACTATGTAGTAAAACCCTGTCTCAAAAATAAAAAAATCTTTACAAAGTGACACACTTGTAATAAGGAGATCAAGGACATCCTCTGCTACATAGTGAGTTTGAATCCACCTTGGATTACACAAGCCCTTATATCAAAAAAATATTCACACATTGGAAGATGCCTATAATATAATTTCTTATTAGCATAATTTCTGGAATTTCATTAAAATATACAAATTATTTATTCCTAATATTTATTTTCCATAAAAAAGGATTAGATTTTCAATTTGACAGATACTTTTGCCAAGCATGGTAGCACACATCTATAATCTAGGCACTCGGGAAGCAGGTACATCTCTGAGTTTGAAGGCAGGTTGGTCTTCAAAGCAACTTCCATGCGGTTTGCTGCTGTATAGTGAAATCCTATCTCAAAAATTAATACAAATAAGCCCTTCATGTTATAATATATATATATATATGTATGTATATATATATATACCATTTAATATATAATACATGTATGATTTTTTAATTCTCTGGATTTATTTTTTTAAGTATTTTCATTTATAATTTATTTCTTTTGGGGTGTGTGTGTGTGTATGCGCGCGCGCGCTCGTGTGTGCATGAGAATGTGTGTGAACATGCCACAACATTCATGTTGAGGTCAAAGTAGGAGTTTGTTCTCTCCTCCTACTCTACTATATGGGTCCTGGGGATCAAATCCAGGAAGTCAGTCTTAGCAGCAAGCACCTTTTACTGAACCATCTTGCTGGCCTAATCGTGATTTGTTGTTTTAATTTTGAATTTGTAAAACATTTTTTTGTTTTTAATATATTCCAACTGTAGTTTCCCCTCCCTCCATTCCTATTACCTCCCCCACTCCCCTCTCCCCCAAATCCACTCCTCCTCTATTTACCTTCAGAAAAGAGCAGGCCTCCCTAGAATATCCACCAAACACAACATAGCAAGATACAATAAGAGTAAGCACAAACCCTCATGTTAAGGCAGGATGAGGCAACCCAGCAGGAGGGACAAGGTCCCAACAGCAAGCAAAAGACACCCCCACTCTCACTGTTAGGAGTTCCACAAAACACCAATCTAACAAACAGATATATATGCAGAGGACCTAGTTCCAAACCGTGCAGGCCCCATGATTGCCACCTCAGTCTCTGTGAGCCCCTATGTTTCCTGTTTAGTTGAAGTCTCCTGGTGTCCTTGACCCCCCCTGGCTCCTGCATTTCTTCCTCCCCCTCTTCCTCAGGGTTCCCAAAGCTAGAAGGAGAGGAACCCATTGGAGATCTCTAATTTGGGCTCTCTCCCTAATGTTTGGCTGTAGGTCTCGGCATCTGCTCTCATCAGCTGCCAGCAGTAGCCTCTGCTGATGATGATTAGGTTAGGCACTAGCATATTGTTAGGAACCATTTTTTTCTAACGTAGGTCTCTGGCCTATCCAACCTCTAGTTCCCGGTCATCCAGGTAGTGGGCATGGGCTCTCTCTCAGGATGTGAACCTCAAATTAGACAAGTCATTAGTTGGCCACTCCCACAAGTTCTATGCCTCAATTGCCCCAGTATATCTTTCAGGTGGTATAGATTATAGATAGAAGGTTTTGTGGCTGGGTTGTTGTCCCAGTCCCACATCTGGTAAGCCCTGCCTGGTTACAGAGGGTGACCAGATCATGCTCTAACTCCTCCATTACAACAAGTCCTCCATAAGATCACCCTCGTAGAAACTTAGAAATAGACTAGGTCTCCATATCATGCACACACACACCCAAATGCCTTCCAGTTCCAGTCATGTTTCCCAATACTCTCTCCCTCCATCACCCCTACCCCCACCATGCCTGATCTCCCCTGTTCTCTTTACCACTGGCCCTCAGTCCACCTGATAACTCTATTTCCCCTTCCCAGAGGCATCCATGCATTCTCCTTTAGAGTCTCCTTGTTAGTTAGCATTTCTGGGTCTGTGGATTGTAGCATAATTTACTTAGCAACTAGTATCCTTTTTTTTTTTCTTTTTGTTTTTTTATTTTTGTTTGTTTGGTTTGGTTTGGTTTGGTTTTTGGTTTTTCCAGACAGGGTTTCTCTAGCTTTGGAGCCTATCCTGTAACAAGGTCTATAGACCAGACTGGCCTCGAACTCACAGAGATCCACCTGCCTCTACCTCCCAAGTCCTGGGATTAAAGGCGTGCACCGCCTGGCTGATTTTTTTCCATTTCTATTTTTTCATTTCCTTGCAAATTTCATGTTTTTTTAACAGCTGAGTAATACTCCATTGTGTAAATATACTACATCTTCATCTGTTCTTCAATTGAGGGGCATCTAGGTTGTTTCCAGTTTCTGGCTATTATAAATAAAGCCACTATAAACACAGGTGAGCTGTTGTCTTTGTGGTAGGATGGAGTTGTCCATTAGATAGATGCCCAAGACTGGTATAGCTGGGTCTTGAGGTAGATCAATTCCCAGTTTTCTAAAGAAACACCATATTGATTTCCATAATGCAGTTCCAAACATCAATGGAGGAGTGTTCCTTTTGCTCCACATCCTCGGCAGCCTGAGCCATCACTTGTGTTTGATCTTAGTCATTCTGTCCAGCGTAAGATAGAATCTCAAAGTAATTTTGATTTGCATTTCCTTATGACTAAGGATGTTGAATATTAATTTGTTTCTCAGCTATTTTCTTTCCTCTATTTAGAATTCTCAATTTATATCTGTACCACATTTCAGAATTGGATTATTTGGTTTGTTGATGTCTGGTTTCTTGAGTTCTTTTTATATTTTGCATATTGGCCCTCTGTCAGATGAGGAGTTGGCGAAAATTTTTCCCATTCTGTAGGCTGCCATTTTGTCCTATTGATGGTGTCCTTTACCATACAGAAGCTTTTTGGTTTCATGAGATCCCATTTATTAATTGTTGATTTTATTGTCTATGCTATTCGTGTTCTGTTCATAAAGTTTTCTCCTGTGCCAGTGTCAAGGTCATTCCCCATTTCTTCTTCCATCAGGAACAGTGTGTATGGTTTTATATTGAGATCTTTGGTCCACTTGGACTTGAATTCTGTGCAGGGTAAGAAATATGAATCAATTTGCATTCTTCTACCAGTACCATTTGTTGAGGATGCTTTATTTTTTCCATTGTATAATTTTAGTTCCTTTATCAAAAATCAGGTGTTTATGTCAGAGTTTTCAATTTGATTCCATTGATCAAAGTGTCTGTTTACATGCCAACACCATGTGGTTTTAATTACTATAGCTCTGTAGTAGTAGAGCTTGATACTTTTAGCATTTCTTTTATTGTTCAGGATTGTTTTAGCTATCCTGGACTGTTTTGTTATTTTTGTTAGGATAGCCATTTTTACTGAGTTGATCCATAAAAATGGGAGATCTTTCCCTCTGTTCTCTTTTTTTTCTTCAATGACTTGAAGTGTTTGCTTTGGTTTGGTTTGGGGTTTTGTTTGTTTTTAGGGGGAGTTCAAGACAGGGTTTCTCTGTCTAACAAAGCCCTGGCTGTTCTGGAACTTGCTTTGGAGACTAGGGCAGGCTTGAGTTCACAGAGATTTCCACCAGCCACGTCAGTCCAAAAATAACACACAGAGACTCTATTATAAAACTGATGGCCAGTGGCTAGAGCTTCTTATTGGCTACCTCTGTCTTAAATATTAATTCATTTCCACATGGTCTTACCCGGGAGAGAGAGAGTCCAGGCGTCTTATTCTTCTCCTGGCCTACATCTTGATTTCTCCTTACTACCTCTCCCAGAATCCTCATTGTCTCCTAGTCCCGCCTATCTTGTCTTCCTATTTGCCATATTTACATAATGACATCTCCCATTAAGCAGTGATCCTTCTGTTTCTATTTTTTGGAAGTCTGGTTTAATTATGCCCTAAAACCATCTGGCCCTGGGCTTTTTTTGGGTTGGGAGACTTGTAATGACTGTTTCTATTTTCTTAGGGGTTATAGATCTATTTAAATTGTTTATCTGGCCTTGATTAAGTATGTCCTTAAGTTTCTCTACATTTCCTCCGTGACTGTTATTATGTCCCCCTTTTCATTTATGATTTGTTAATTTGGATATTCTCTCTCTCTGCCTTTTTATTAGTTTGGATAAGAGTTTGTGTATTTTGTTGATTTTTTTTTTTTCTCAAAGAACCAACTCTTTGTTTGGTTGATTCTATTGTTCTCTTTGTTTCTATTTTATGAATTTCATCCCTCAGTTTAATTATTTCTTGTAGTCTACCTCTCTTGGGCATGCTTTCACATATGCTGTTAATTTGCTGTGAACTTTCCCCTTAGCACCGATTTCTTAGTGTCCCATAAGTTTGGGTATGTTGTATACTCATTTTCATTTAGTTCTAGGTACACCACTACCCAGCATCTTTTTTTAAAGGTAGTCTCACTATATAGCTGGAATTACTATGTAGAAAGAGCACACTAGCATCTGAACTTCTTATGTAGATCAGGGTGGCCTTGAACTTCTGGCTCTATACTTTCCCTTCTGAGTGTTGAATTACACATGTGCTCCACCACACATGGACTTTTTTCTTTAAGATTTATTTTTATAATGCTTAATTATAAATGTCTATGTATGGGGATGTGTATGTGAATATAGGTGCCCTTGGAGGCCACAGATGTTGGAACCCTCCTGGAATTGGGATGTTACATGTGATTGTGTGCTGCCTGATAAGAGTGTTTGGAAGTGAACTTGTGTCCTCTCCAAGAACAATCCATAGTTTTAGCTGTTGAGCCATCTGTTCAACTTTGTGCTTGGCCTTATTTTGTATATCGGAGATGATTTCATATGCGTCAAGCTGATCTCACACTTAACATGTAGTCTAAGCTGGCCTTGAATACCTGATATTCCTACCTTCTCTTCCCAAGTGTTGATTATAGACATAAGACAATATTTTAACATTAAATTATTGAGAATTGTGATGCTTTTGTGTAATTAATTAATCTTTTTTATCTCTCAAGATAGGGCCTTGCTATGCAGACCTGGGTAGCCTGGAACTTTATAGACTGACCTAGCCTTATATTTGCTGCAACTCTGCTGCCTCTGCCTCTGCTCATGAATCCTGAGTTATACACATGTACCATCATGTCTATAAAGTATGATATATTTAACGAAATGTATTGTTTCATCCACTTAAATTGCACAAGTATATAAATATTGCAAAAATATTGCAATTGTAGTGGAGTAAGCTTATGAGAAATGTAAACTCTCCAAGATTAAAAAATAGAGGTGAGATCCAGGTGTGGTGGTGCACACCTTTAATCCCAACACTCAGGAGGCAAAGGCAGGTGGATCTCTATGAGTTTGAGGGCAGCCTGGTCTACAGAGTGAGTTCCAGGACAGCCAGGGCTACATAGTGAGACCCTGTCTGTGGCAGGGTGGTGGAGGGGATGGGGAGGGTATAAGAGTGACTCTCAGAGAAGCCCCTTTTCCTCCTAACTGTTGTCTTTAAAATCCATATTAAAATGATAAACCCTGTTTCTAAAAATGGGGCTTAAGTCTATTGGAAAGCTGTTTCTTAGGAAACGTTCCTCTCTGGAAGTATACAACCTACACTGTCCTGGTGATTTGTTAGGTGCAACCTGATGATTATCCTTCTTTTTTTTTCTCACAGTGATGTGTGTGGCTGGAATTGGACTCGTTGTGTTATTCTTCAGTTGGATGCTCTCTATATTTCGATCAAAATACCATGGCTATCCATACAGGTATATTCTTAGTTTACCTATACTTAAAATGATTACTTAGTATTGCATTATATTTTATTTTTCTTTTCTGGTTTTTGGTTTGGTTTGATTTGGTTTTGGTTTTTTGAGACAGGGTTTCTCTGTGTAACAGTCCTGAAACTCATTCTGTAGACCAGTCTGGCCTCAATCCTCCTGCCTCTGTCTCCCAAGGGCTGGGATTAAAGGCATGTGTCACCAATGCCCAGCCTATAATATTTTATTGCTTACCTTTTTACTCCTTCATTTTAAAGTCTCCTGGCTTCTACTTCTTTTTCTGTTTTGTTTTTGCAACAGGATCTCACCTACCCCAGGCTGGCTTTAAACTCTTGATCCTATTGTCTCTGTCACCAACATTTGAGAATCACAGGTATACACTACCATACTCAGCCTTTTGGAGGAAGTAATTTTATTTGAGTGAGTGTTTTATGTTTTGGTGGTGTTTTTTGAGTCAGGGTCTTAACTGTGTACCCATCACTGACTTGTAATTCATTATGTACACCATACTGCCTATGAACTTAGTAGCAGTGTTACTGCATCCCAAGTGCTGGTATTAGTGGCATGTACTTCCCCTGGCCTGTGTTTGTGTGGTTCTCTCTGTCTCTGTCTCTCTCTATCATCCTCCCCCCTCCTCTCTCTCCTTTTTGAGAGTCTCACTATATAGATGAGGCCAGCCTCCAAACCAGATATCTGCCTTTCTTTGCCTCCCAGTGCTGGAATTAAAGGTGTGTACTACCATACCCAGCTGTCTGGTAATTACTTTTGTGGTGTTACAAGGAATTTTGTTTGTGGGTTTTTTTTTCTTCTTTTTTGTTCTGGGGTGGGGGTGGGTTCGAGGCAGGGTTTCTCTATGTAATAGCCCTGGCTGTCCTTGAACTCACAGAGATCTGCGTGCCCCTGTCCCCCCACCACCAACAACTGCTGGTATCAAAAGCTTGCGCCACCACTGCCCAGCATAATTTTTATTTTTCAAAGATTTATTTCTATCTATATGAGTGTTTACTGCATATATATATGTGTGTGTGTGTGTGTGTGTGTGTGTGTGTAGCACATGCATGCCTGATGCCCACAGAGGTCAGAAGAACGGGTTTAGGGCTTGTGGAACTGGAGTTAATCATCAGTTGTGAGTTGTCATGTGGGTGCTGGGAATTGAACTTGAGTCCTCTGCAAAAGCCCCAAGTGCTCTTAAGTGCTGTGCCTTCACTCCAACTTCCATAATTTCTGTTTTAATACAACATCATCCTACAATACACCACCATAAATACTAAGCCAGTTATGATATTACAGGCCTGTAATCCCAGCACTCAGAAGTAGAGGGCAGGAATCCAACTTGGATGGACTATATGAGACACTGTCTCAAAAAAACAAAGACTCCTGGGCCATTCAGTGTTTCTCTTTTTGTTATTGATACTCAGGTCATGTTACATATATTAAAATCGACATACTATATATTTATAAGAAGTAAAATTTATTTTTCTATCAGACTAATGTATTTTGTTATATATTTTGTTTCAGTTTTCTGATGAGTTAAAGAGGATTCCAGAGACACATAGACCCTGTGGTAATAATGGAAACTGAATAATAGTAAATATGTGGTGTTTGAAGAAGAATGCAACTCATGTATTTTATATTACCTCTTTTTTTGTCAAGTGATTTAAATAGTTAATCATTTAACCAAAGATGTGTAGTGCCTTAACAAGCAATTGTAAGATCATGAAGTATTTGGAATTAGTCTCCTCTTAACCGTCCCATCCCTATGAGCGTATGAAACATTTGATTTTGTAGAATTAAGTACTTTATTAAAAAAAATTAAAACTACTACTTTGTTTTACTTAGAGCAAAACTTAAAACTACTTTACTTAACTTTTGGTCATCTAATTTTATCTTATCCAAGGTTGGGGATGGAAGGTTCTAAGCAGGAATTAATTTCCACTTCTGCCTATTACAAACAACTGCATCTGGAAGCCATCATTAGTTTTCCTTTGTGCAGATGTATGTGATTTACATCTTTCCTTGGGGCCAAGGTATCATATGCACTATGTGAACTTCTGAAAATGGACCATGTAGCCTTTGGAAAGATAAATCTGTCTTCCTGTATCTTTCCTACTAAAATTAGAGCTACATATGCCTCTTTTACACATTAAAAAGTACCTCTAACTATAAGACTATGATTTCTGCATGAGTGTGCTCTACCTTGTACATGGAAAGATTTCTGATTTATTCTGTTTCTAGTTTTATTAAAGTGGCCCTTCTCTAATAATTATAATTTGTTGCTAAAATGTTAGTATAACTTATAAATGGTCTCAGATGTTTGTGTAAGTTAGTTAGACGTTGTTGTTGATCTCATTTTTACCTAACAGAAAAATAAGCTGTGTTGTGTTCATGGAAAGGACTCTCTTAGAATGAGAAAAGAAAACCATGAAATACTGATTTGTTGCCTATGGATAAAAATGAAACATTTTGCCAGGCTTTTGGCAGATACAGGCTGATCTTTGTGACTTTGTGGCCAGCCTGGGCTACATAATGAGACCCTGTCCCCTGTCTCAAAAAAAAGAGAGAGAGATAAATGTAAATGTTGTTAAGATGTTGGTAGACTGCTTGCCCAGCATGGGTGACACTCTGGGTTCAATCCTCGATGCCACCAAAAAAAAAAAAAAAAAACTTCTTGAAACCTGGTCTTTTTTTTTTTTTTTTTTTTTAATGCACATGTTCCTTGAAACCTGGGCTATTTTTTAAATAAGTATTTCTTCAAGCCTGGTCTAGTTTTTGATTTTTATTTGTGTGTTTGTTTTCTAAAAGAAATGTGTTGAAACCTGGTCCTGTTGGTTTACTTTGCCTTTTTGTGACCTAGCACTGACTGGTCTTGAACTCCTGTATGGAGACCTGGGTCACCTCCACCTCACAATGATGCTCATGTCTCAGCTTCCTAAGTGCTGGGATTATAGGCATACATTGCCATTGAACCTAGTCTGCTTCCTGCTATCATTTTAGCTTTTATTTTCCCCCATCAATTAGATATACAAAGAATGGTGATGTACATGTCTCAGCTCTTAGCTACCCTGGTTACTGAATTAGGATCCCTGAAGTCTGGCATCATATTAACACCTCATTTCAAAAATGTGTATAATATAATTGTGAAGGGATTTTGTTTGAATTTTGGGTTTTTTCCCTCTGATAGTAAAATAACCATATAGACTAACCAAATTCTCATGAGGGATATTTAAGTCATGGTTATATTATGTCTAACTTTGACCTCCAACAAAGTTATGAAGAGTAACTTGAAATGCCACTGTTATTAAAGTGTGGAGTTGGGATGTAGTTTAGTGGTAGAGCACTTGGCTAGCATGTATGAGGCCCTGTGTTCAGTCCCCCAAAAGTGAGAATTGTAACTGTGAAACAACATAAAAAATTATTAGAAATATTACATTTAAGAGATAGAGATGGGTATGTGGTTCAATTGATGCAGTGCTTGCCGAACATCTAGGAAACCCTGGGTTCCATCCACTACATCACATAAGCCAGATGCGGTGCATGCATGTAATCCTGGCACACTCAGGAGACAGACAAGAAGCTCAGAAATTCAAGCTCAGCCTTGAATACATAGTGAGTTTAAGGCCAGCCAGAGCTACATGAGACCCTATCTCAAAGACAAACATACTGTGACTGTTTCCTGCTATTGGTTATGTAATATCTCTCTCCTGTCTTATATAATAGAGGTTTGTGGAAAGAAGACATAATTGTCCCAGAAGAAATTTTCGAGGATTTGTTTGTTGTTGTTACAAATTTGATGAGTAAGTGGATATAGTTGACTGTTTCTTATAAATTGAGTGATTCTGAATGTCTTGTCTGCTATTCTTGTATTTGTCTCTGCCAAATGAAGTTAGGCTGTGATTTTTAGGAATCTTGTAAGATTGAACGAACTGGGCAGTACTCGTGCTATGTACCCTCTGTAGCTCCAAGTCAGTGTTCTGTCTGTTTTCTCTCTGTTTAAGAGCAGCACTCTTCAGGATGAAGAAAGGCACGCTCTGGCTAAAATCTGTGAAAGCAGATTTTCTCCACTTAAAATAGTGTTACTTTTGTGGAAATTTTAAATTTAGCTTTTATCTGAAGTGCCTTAAGTAGATTCTTAATTTACTTTTCTAGTAATGGTTTAAATATAATTCATTATGTATTTTAATATACTGTTCAAAAATGATACATTATTATGGCAAAGATAACCAAATGTCTGGCTTACTGCTTCCTATCAATAAACTTTTGCAATCTAAATCCAGGTGTTTCATTCCCTCTTGTATTCATTTCTCTTCTGTTACGGTTCCAGAATACCCTGACTAAAGAAAAGGTTCATTTGGCTCCCAGTTCCAAGGGAATATATTGTTGAGAAGACACAGCAGCTGGAGCATGAAAGCCACAGGCAGTCAGGAAGCAGAAGGAGGACAGGGAGTAGAGCCAGGTTATATTACCCCAAAGCCTGCCCCCAAGGATGTACTCTAGCACAACCTCACAAACACTACTAGCTAGAGATCAAACAAATGAGTCTATGAAGGCATTTCCCATTTAAACCACAGCACCTCTATAGAGGAGTCAATTTGAAGTATCCAAAGGGGATTGTCTCTTAAGAACTATTTATTGTCTTGACAAGTGGAGGTAGGTGTGATTAGGTAATTGAATATTAGGAAATGTGAAGACGCTCTGACAAGTGAAGAGATCCGGGGTTAATGCATGTTTTGTGACCACATGATGACAGGCAAGTCAGTTAAATCTTTCTGAACCTACTTTATTCTGGGAGGGCGATGTGTTGGACTGTTTGTTACCTCAAAGATTTATACTTAAATAGAATGTTAGGGATGCAGGGTTGAGTTTTTTTTTTTTTTTTTTTTGTTATAGTTTAAACAAAGTCTCTTACAGTTCAGGTTGGCCTCAAATTCACTGGGTAGCCCAGGCTGACCTTGATATCCTGGCCCTCTTGCCACTGTACAGGTTTACTCTTTTTAAAAATACTTGTATTGTCAGGAAGTGGTGACAGATGCCTGTAATCCCAGCAGAGAGTCAGGGCAGGCAGATGTCTGTAAATTCAAGGCCAGCCTGGTCTACAGAGTTCCAGGACAACCAGGGCTGTTAACACAAAGAAACCCTGTTGTAAGAGAAATTGTGGCTAGCATACCCAAGCCACAGGTGCCCAGGCCAGCCTGAATGGACATGCCAAGCAGGTACTTCCTGAGCCAAGCCTGCCTCTATGCCCAGAGACTGCTGACAAAGAGACACCTGACCAGAGACACCAATGAGGGAAGGACATACAGCAGAGTCAGCGCCTGAGCCAATAGGACCTTGGGATGGGGTATAAAGGCAGGACTAACTTCCTTAATAAAGGAGTCTGCAGCATGCTGTGCTGCTCACTGACCCCAGTGCCTGAGTCGTTGGTGCTGTGTCTTCTCACACCCTCCCACAAGGGATGTCTGAGCAGTGTCACCCGCAACACCCTGTCTCAAAAAAAAAAAAAGGAAGAGAGAGAAATTTGTATTTGAGAATTTTATGTATGCATGCAATGAATTTTGCCCATATTAACCTTCCAGTCTGTCCCATAACTCCTCCCAGCTTTGTTTTCTCTTTTTCTTTTTTATAGCACAGTGACTCCAATTTGTGCTGCCCATACATACATTCAGTGAGTGTGGAGCTATCACTAGTGTGTGATGGTTTTCTTCATTGGATATAATAGTAATCTCATTTGGTGTTGAATTAAATCAGTTGAAATACAGATTGTTTTGTGATAACATTTCCGAAGTCGTAAAGGTGCTGGTGAACATAGTACAGATTGTTTAATATGTATCAAGCCAGACTTGATGCCAGCATTTAGGAGGTAGAGTCATCAGGACTGGAGATGAAGATAAGCCTGGGCTACAAGAGACCCTGTCTCAAAAACATTACAAAGAAAAGGAAGAAGAAAGAAAATAACCCAGAGGGTGGTGACAAAGGCCTTTAATCCCAGCAATCAAGAGGCTGAGTTCAAGGCCAGCCTGCTGATCTACAAAGTTGAGTTCCAGGACAGCCTAAACTGTTACACAGAGAAACCCTGTCACAGAAAAACATACAAACCCTAAAGCCTGAATTATATTTATTTTAAATTTAAATACTTATATCTTTAATAGTTTACATAATAGAGCAGAGTAGGAAAGAGCTCTGAAGGAACTTAATGCAAGGTCATCTTCAGCAACATAGTGAGTTAGAAACCACCCAGACTACCGCAAACCTTGCCACAAAAAAACAAACCAAAAAACATCATTGAACTAAGTTTTAGAAAGATGGTGCCTGGAACCTGTAAATCCACAGTTAGATATGATGATATGGGCCCTACCCATTCTGAGCAGGGGGGACGGTATGCTGATAGTATTGAAAGCCAAAGCCAGAAAGACAGTAGATATGCTTAAATTTAGTACCTTCATTGCTTTGCTGAAGAAAACCTGCCCTAGAAAAATGAAGCAATTTACTGAAGGTTATGCCAAGGAAATGCTTACAGGTTTCCCATTTTGCTGAATATACCCTATGGATTATATTTCACTTGCAGATGCAAATTGCTCTCTGGAGACCATAGTCCACCTTGATTGCTTCCTGACATCCAGATTTCTGGAAGAAGTCCTAATGAAAAAGGCATTTCCCTAGAGAGCCTGAATCATGCAGGTGCCCTAAAGGAGTGAGTTTTGATTGACACTCTTTAGTCTGTGAAAGTAGAATGTAGGTGAGGAGATAGACTTTTGCCAGGAAGTGAAGCAAGACTATTAATAACCTAGAGATGCTTCTGAACTTTGTGCAGAAGTGTCACTTAAACCTTTACTTTCCTTCATGAAATTAAAGGGTTAAAATATCAGTGTAAATTAGCATAGTGACATGACACCCGTAATTCCAACATTTAGAATGCAGAGTGAAGCTGGAGAATCGGGAATTCAAGGTTAGCCTCTGCTGCACAGTTTGAGGTTAGCTTGGACTACATGAGTCTGTCTCAAAGACAACAACAACAACAACAAAAAACCCTACCAATGTTTATAACCAACTGAAAGTAGAATACAATTGAAAACAATGAAGCCAAGTGTAGTGATAACATTCCTTTAATCCCAGTGCTCAGGAGGCAGAGACAGATGGATCTTGTGAGTTTAAGGCCAGACTGGTGTACATAGTTCCAAGCTAGCTGGTGAGACAGGTTTTGAGAACCTGTCTCAAAACAAAACAAAACAAAACAAAAAGCCAGAAATTGTACTCATGCTTGTAATCCCAGTACTTCGACACTCAGGCTGGAGAATCAAGCATGCAAAGCCAGCCTGAACTACTAGTAGGTTCTAAACTGGTCCAAGTTATAAATGGGATGCCTATCTCAACAAACAAAAATAAGCCCACCATGAGATACTCCCTCATACCTACTATCAGAAAAACAGTAAATTAGTAAGGATATGAAGAAAGTGAACCTTTATAACTGCTGGGAATATAAAACAATATAATCAACTGGAAAACACTGTCAAAGCTCATTAAAAATACCTATGTAGAGTCTCTTATAGAGAACCCAGGTTCAATTCCCAGCACTCCACAACCTAGTTCCAGGGCATCCAATGACTCTGACATCCAAAGGCACCAGACACTCACATGGTACACACACACACAGACACACGTGCACGTGCGTGCAAGCAAGCAAAACACTCACATACATAAAATAATATTTAAAACCTAACAAAAATTAACATTAGATATAGTAGTACATAGCTATAATCCTAGCATTTAGGAGGTTGAGATACAAGGATGAGGATCCTCTCTCAAAAAAACTGAAAAAGTAGCCAGTAATCCTAGCAGTCACAGATGCAGGAGGATCTGGAGTCAAAGGCCATGCTGCATAGCAAGTTTTAGGCCAGTCCAGAATAAGGAGGCCCTGTCTCAAAACAAGTTCAGGTATGATGATGCATACCTGTTGGGAGTAAAAGCCCAATAAAGCAGGTAATAGATTCTGGGACACAATACAGGCTGATTAAGGTTTATTTGGGGAGAATTCACTTACACAAGAAACAAACAACCGTCTCCAGTTCCTGCTCCAAGGATGTCCTCGGATCTTCTCTACTCTCCGACCCAGAAGTAAGAAAGAGCATCCAGGTCAGAACCCAGACCTAATCTCCACCGGTCACGCCCACACCTATCCCCATGCCCCAATGGGTATGGTCAGTACAACAGGTGTGGGCAAGGTGGATATCTCACTATAATTCCCCTTTTAGTCTAAGAAAAAATTTAGGCTTGATCTGTAACTATACACAAGGACAGCAAACATCAAATATGCTCTAGAGGAAAGAAAAGTAAGAACAAACACACTTAAGGCCTATTGCCAGTGAGGTAACAGACATATATATGAATACCTATATACATATTTTAAACTTAGATTTCAAAAAATTATTTGTACTATTCATAATTAGCCTTATTGTGTGTGGGAGGGGTATGTAGATATGAGGGCTGCAGAGGCTAGAGGTGCTGCTTCTCCTTGGAGCTGGAGTTAACAAGGGGTTGTGAGCTGGTACAGGTGCTGAGAATTAATTAAGACAAAACAAAAAATACTACGATGATAAGGGCTTCAGTTTTTGTTTTTCGGCTTTGTTTCTTTGTGTCTGTTTTTGACAGCCAGTCCTCCTGTAGCCCATGCTAAGTCCTGAGCCTCTTGCCTGTAACCCCCACCCAATACACTCACATGCTGGAGTTACAGGCATGTGCACCATGCCTGGTTTATTTAGTGGTGGAGATTGAGCCCAAGGCTTCATGCATTCTAGACAAGTACTATAATAATTAAATTAAATCCCCACCCCCAGAAACATTAAGCTGTGTATTTTGGAAATGGGGTCTTGTGCAGGAATGGCTGGCTGTTGAGAAGGCTAACCTTGGAAAGCATTGTTTTCCAGGTAAGTATATTTCAGAAATGCTTTCCAGTCTTCTATTCTTCTCTTGATAGATTTAGTTTCAGTATTCCTAGATGTGGAGATTCTGATCGTTTTGTCTCCACCTCTGTAGCACTGGATTGCATGTGTGTGCTACCATGCTCAGTTTATATAGTGCTGGGAATCAAATCTAGGACTTTGTGCATGGCAGGTAATAACTCTACCAACTAAGCCATGTCCGTAGCCCCCTCCAGCCCCCCTTTTTTGTTGTTGTTATTTCAAGTTTGAGACAGAATCAATCTGAATTGTCCAGGCAGGACTTGAATTTTAGAGTCTTCTTTCTCAGCATCCTGAGTAGTTGGGATCACGGGCCTG